TTTCTCTTGATTTATTTTCAATTTTATTTGACCCGGCTCGGCCTAGATCAGCCTACACCGTTGCCACCGCTAATGAATACGGGGCCATGCCTGAGAAATATACTTATCAACCATGTTTTTTTTGGGTAAGTAAAAGTGGTAAATCAATGAGGATTTGAGCCCCTATATTTTGGTCAGAATGGAGTCAGAGACCTCACCATGGGGCTCGGCAATACTAGCGCCAAGATCCCAAGCCATTTTCAATACTTATCAACTATGTGGTGGTAGAGGCATGCGGATCAAGGATCACACCTACAAAAGGATTATTGCCCCAAATCACCCAATTTCACATATGACAACTGGGCTGATTGTGATTTTTTTTATATCAAAAGTAAATTCTCTTACTATACAATTTCCATTCTTTTTAGGGAAAATTGTTGAAAACCCTCTAAAATATACTCTCTAGATACTCTACCCCAACCCTAAACTTTCCTCACTTATTTTTCTCAAAAACTATCTTTTCTAACTAATACCCCCAACCTAAAAAAAATAGAAATAAAGACAAAATTACCTCCCCTTTTTAACTTCTACATTAAAAAGAGTGTTTGTGTAGGTAGTCCGGCGTTTATGTAGGCAATCCAGCATTTGTGTAGATAGTTCGGCATTTTGTGACCGTCAATTTGGCATTTACACAAGCAGTCCGGCATTTTGTGGGCGCGGTCCGGCATTATGCATACTGTAATAAAATCACTCTAGCATTTTGATGCAGTGGTCCGGCAGTGTATGTGCGCAATCCGGCGATATGTTTACTGTAATGTGGGCAGTCTGACGATTTGAAGTAGTGCTCCGACAATTTACTTACTGGAATGGGGTCAGTCAGACATTTTCAAGGTGCGGTCCGACATGTGTTTCTGGAATGATGTTAAGTCCGGCATTTCACAGCTCGCTCCGACGTTATGGTCGATCTATCCAACACTGGGAGGATACAGTCTGGCAATATCTTACTCGCGGTCCGGTGTTACAGAACTTCGCTTCGGTGATTTTACTACTGGAGACGTAAGTCCGGCATTTCATGGTCTCGGTCCGGCATTAGTAGTCTACGGTCCGGCGTATGTTTAAATAAGCAGTCTAGTATTGTAGAAATGCAGTTCGGCATATGTCGTAAGTCCGACAAATAATAACCGCGGTCTGGCGAAAGTATTATTGCGATCCATCCAAATGATTTGTTCACACGGTGAAGGTATAGGAAAGGGTATTTTCGTTAAAAAAGATATCACTTTTTGAGTTGGGGGTATTAGTTAGAAAATATGGTTTTTAAGAAAAAGTACTGAAGAAAGTTTGGAGTGGGGGTAGAGTGTCTATATTTTAAAAGTTTTTCCAGCAATTTTCCCTTCTTTTTATCTAAAATTTACATAACATCTTTGATTCACAATTAAAAAAGAAATTGATTTTGATTCTTAAATACCTAGATCGGACCATCTATCAAATGGATGGCCATCTTTGGAGGGACATCATTTGGGTTTCAATTTATTTTTAAAGATTATTCATGGTATGGAGAAACAAATTCTAAGTAGGTTTTCAAATGTACATTCCATTCCCACGTTCATAATTAGTTGTATTTCAATTTCTTTTTAAATAAACTTATGCTAACATCGCTTATAATTAGCTGTATTTCGATAATATCTCACATATTTTACATTTTAGGCTTTATTTTTGCCTTTTTTTATTTTCCCAAATTATCCCATATTTTTTAAAGGGAAAGGTTTCTGTACTTCACCTACAGCATAGAAGATCTGTGTTTCCCCTACCATCCAGCCGTCTAATTTTGATCAAGTGAGTCACTCACTGTTTGATCTTCGATCCGATGCTTCAGAGTATTTTATTTTTAATTTTTTTTTATACAAATTGTATGAATATAAAATTCGGTAAGTGTCATCTTCTCATTGTGGTACACATACAAAAAAATATTACAAATAATTTTTAGATAAAACATAATGACCAAAATATCTATCAAATCTTTCAAGGGTATTTTAGTCATTTTATTTTATTGAAAATATTTTATTAATTTTTTTTAGAAGTGTGAGTTTAATAGAGGATTGGAACCCAAAATTTGGTATCAAAACAGTTTTTAGCGAAAAATTTAAAAATAAAATAGTATAGTTTAATATGACATTGTGATTAGGGCCATCCCAATCCTCTATTCAAAATGGAGGGTTGGATAAAGGGAAGTATATAAGTTCGATGTTGTAGAGGACGCATAGAAAGCTTGTCCTTTTTTAAAACTATTAGCTCTAGACGAGAATCAAAGCGGTATCTATGAACTTCAGTATCTCAAAGAAGTCATGAACTACAGTTCCAAACCATAGTTGGCAAATCTCCTATTAAAACACAATTTTTTGAAAAAAAATCTTATATTTTTAAAAATCTATTAAAAATTTTGAGTTTTCAAAAGATCTTTCAAAAAAACAAAAAAATTAACGGAAACAATAGAAATACACATTTTATCTTTTTTCAAAAGAGATTTTTTTAAAAAAATTCTTTCATGTAACTTTCTTGAAACTTAGCTTCTCCTTTTTGGTTCTGATCCAAAAAGTGGAATAAAATTAAGAAACTTGATTTAACAAAAAATTCCATAAAAATATTTCACTAATATATTCCCTTAAAGTTTGTACTAACAAAATATTTATATAAAAAAATAACCTTCTAAAACAACCGTATATCTTAAAATAGTTGGTTAATTTAAAGGAAGAGTAACCTACCGTATATCTTAAAATAGTTGGTTAAATTAAAGGAAGAGTAACCTAAGAATCTTTTCTTTATCTTGTCCAAAGTGTCATTTACATTCTCCATCATGGATTTTGGGTGAGAGAGATACCTAACTTTTTATGGACGTTACCCTATTATTGCTTGGATGCCAACTGAAAAAGAAAGATCTTGAAATTCCTTTGACCAATTCACCCAAAAAAACAAAAAATTTCCTCTCACAAAAAAATATACCAAAGGTGTACTTTGATTACTACAACCCGCGGCTCCTGGATACTACAACTCCCAATAGTATAACACTTTCTGTGATTGTTAGACATGAAGTATTATGCTGTTTTAGAAGCTACAGCCACAACTTCCATGCTACAGTATGGAAGCTGCGGTTTTCAGAATTAGTAAAGAGGCCACCAACTCTTCCACCAATGAAACACCGTCTGTGTGAGTAACGCTACAAAATTGTAGCAAAAAACTCTCAAATGATATTGTTTAAGGGTAATTATCACAAGAATCCCTTTTTCCCTGAAATTCTAAAAATACCCATCTTTTAGAAAACTACATCCATACCATTTTTCTACTCTTTACTTTTCCTTTTTTAAAATGTCAATTTGCACATAGCCGAAGATCTAAACAATCAAAGTAAAATGCACCTTCAAATGGTGTCAAGAAATGTGAGATTGCAATACTAGAAATACATATGACAGCTTTAAAATATATTTGTCTTTAATTATAAAATTTAAATCTTCAAAAATAGTGTAGATCAAGCTAATCTATAAAAAATTGAAAATCTTGAAAATTGAAGGTAAAAAATGCATTACAAGATGCACTATTCCCAAAACTTGAAATTTATTTTTTCTCATATCCATGCATGTTGGTGTTGAGATGATTCATTTGAAAATATCTGAGCATCAAAACAACCTCTTTTAGTGAAATTTTTTAGGTGGATTTTAATTTGATTGTTTAAAGCGCCGACACTATATAAACTTTTTCCTTTTTACAATAACCTCCGTGTACCACGATTCTAACAAAATTGTGATAGACCCCGTTCACTCTTGCTCTCTCTCACTCTAGGAAGCACCACGGTGGTGCTTTGAGTTTCTCATGCCTACTCAATGCACCACAATGGTGTTTTGACCATCACAATTCTATTAGAGTCGCAATGCATCATCACAACCCTAACGGTGTTGTGATGCTTTTAGACACATACATAGACAGTGAAGCATCACGACATGTGCCGTGAGTTGGGCATCATGGCATTCATGGTGTCATGATGCTCAAAGCACCAGGCAGTGCTTTTAGAAATCCAGGAAGCACATTCATGCATTGAGAAGCATCACAACAATGTTAGTGCCATGATGATGCATCACGACACTATTAATGCCCGCTATAAAATGTGAATGTAGATCAGAAAAAAATTTGGATATTTTTGTAATTTCTGAAAAATTAAGGGTAGTTTGAAATAATTACCCTCTTAATTTGAAATTAATAATTACCCCCTTTTTTATGTTAAAAAGTGAACTTCTTAGAGATAATCAACCACTTAACTACACTACGACCTATGCTTCATAACTTCAGTACCAACTTGCAGTTCTTGTGTTTGTCCAAATATTACTGATCTCAAAATTGCTCTAATGTTCTATAAGGAGATATTGAAGTGTTCATAGCCTTTGTTCAAACACAAGCACTGCAATTGTAAGCAGTGAGATTTCAATATTTGGTCCATGGGAACTGGTTCATCATCAAGTGAAAGCTTTTTGTGCCACCATAGTTTGAAGTCCCTGCTTAATATGTTACATGGTTAAAACAATCCAAGGCTTTCATTCACATAGGCAACCTAGCAAACCAAAGATATGCTACCATATGAGAAGCTCTCTCTCTCTCTCTCTCTCTCTCTCTCTCTCTCTCTCTCTCTCTCTCTCTCTACTACTTACTACTACGTTACGTACTAGTATACTTACTACTACTACTACTACTACTACTACTACTACTACTACGTACTACGT